GCCTGACCAACATGGTGAAACCCCGTCTTTAAAAAAATAATAAAAAATAAAGAGCCGGGCGCAGTGGCTCAAGCCTGTCATCCCAGCACTTTGGGAGGTCGAGGTGGGAGGATCACCTGTGGTCGGGAGTTTGAGACCAGCCTGGCCAACATGGTGAAACCCCATCTCTACTAAAATTACAAAATTAGCCAGGCGTGGTGGTGCCTGCCTGTAATCCCAGCTGGGTTGAGAGAGGAAAATCGCTTGAACCCAGGAGGCAGAAGTTGTGGTGAGCTGAGATCGCGCCATCGCACTCCAGCCTCAACAACGGCGAGACTCCGCCTCAAAAAAATTAAGAGGGCCGGGCGCGGTGGCTCACGCCTATAATCCCAGCACTTTGGGAGGCCGAGGTGGGCAGATCACGAGGTCAGGAGATCTAGGCCATCCTGGCCAACATGGTGAAACCGTCTCTACTAAAATACAAAAAATTAGCCAGGTGCGGTAGTGCGTGCCTGTAGTCCCAGCTACTCGGGAGACTGAGGCAGGAGAATTGCTTGAACCCGGGAGGCACGTTGCAGTGAGCCAAGATCGCACCACTGCACTCCAGCCTGGCAACAGGGCGAGACTCTGTCTCAAAAAAAAAAAAAAAAAAAAGAAAGAAGCCAGCAAAGTTACAAAGTTATAGGTTGTCAAGATTTGAGGGTTTTTGTTTGAGACAGAGTCTTGCTCTGTTGCCAGGTGCCAGGCTGGACTGCAGCGATCTCGGCTCACTGCAACTTCCGCCTCCAGGGTTGGAGCAATTCTCCTGCCTCAGCCTCCAGGGTAGCTGGGACCACAGGCACGCACCACCACCCCCAGCTAATTTTTGTATTTTTTAGGAGAGACGGGGTTTCACTACGGTCTCCATCTCCTGACCTCAGCCTCCCAAAGTGCTGGGATTACAGGCATGAGCCACCGCGCCCGGCCGAGATTTTTTTAAGACAGAGTCTTGCTCTCAAAAATGTCACAATCACAGCTCACTGCAGCCTCGACCTCCCTCACTCAAGCGATCCTCCTGACTCAGCCTCCCACGTAGCTGGCACTCCAGGCGCATGCCTCGACGCCCGGCTAACTTTTTAAATTTTTCATAGAGACAAGGTCTCGCTACGTTGCCCAGGCTGGTCTCCAGCTCTTGCTCCTGGCTTGGCCTCTCAAAGCGCTGGGATGACAGGCATGAACCATCGCCCCCGGCCCCTGTTGAGATTCTTGAAGAGCAAGGAATTAGAAACTCCGGGAGGGGCTCCCGGAGAGGCAGACCCCACAGCGGCGTATTCCCAGGTGAAGGAAGAGCCCCCACTACACAGTGCAATCCTCCTTGTTCCCCGCCGAGAGGGAGGCGTCACCCAGAGCTGTCCCTCCCCAAGGGGAGCTCTGATGAAACCAGCAGCTGGACCAGCATCGAAGGCAGGCTCTGTTATCTCGCTTCATGTCATCACCTCCCCGCCTTCCAAGAAACTTCCCATCCTTGTGTCTCGTCTGTCTCCGCTTCCCACGACACCATCGCACAAACCGTGACAGCCGCACAGCTCCGGCACCCGCGAAAGACTGGAGGGGACAACTGTGGGTTCTCCAATACAACGGAGCTGCCCCGTCCGTCCCCTTGTGAGGTTTTCCCGCAGTGGGAGGAGGGCACTTAAGATGGAATGGGAGCCCCAGCCTCTGGTGGTTGCCATGGTAACCTGCCAGGAGGGGAGGCCTTGAAACCGGGAGGGGAGGCCTCGAAACTGACATACTCTTCCCCTGGTAAGTGCCAGGGAGGGGGATCTGGGGAAGATTTGGGGTGAGGGGAGCTGCAAAAGGAGCTGAATTTCAAATGCCCTCGGGGTGCTTTTAGATGGCTCACGTGCCTGGCATTAAACTCCAGGAGATCCAACTGGAGAGTTGTTTCTATATTAATTATCTTTCCTTCCAGGGACAGCATCTCGGCTTGGGGCTGGTGCGTCTGTAAGCACCTCTGGAAGGGCGAAGCACATGCAGGCCTGGGTCCAGCCTAGCTAGCTGCCCATTCTATGGCTGGGCTTTCACTGTGTTTATTTCCATAGGATTTCCTATCGATTGCCAGAGACCTGCTTTCCATGTAAGGTGGTGAACTGCCTTTTAAAACGTACCTAGAAAGCTTCTTTATAAAGTTGCCTTTTAGTACTTACTGAGGTTCAAGAAAGTCAGTCCAAGCAGGTTAAAAAAAACACACACACACAAGGAGAGGGTAGACAACCCCAGCCTAGCTGATTTCTCATCATTGCTCTCTGTGTCATGACATAGTGTCTGTTTCAAGGCCCCCAGGATTTATAAAGTGAGTTTCAAGGCCCTCTCCTCCTCCTTACCAGGATGAGCTCCTTGGCTCTGGGGAGCGGTGAGCCAAGGCTTGAGGCCAAGGAGGCTGGACTATCCACCAGGTCCCGATGGGCAGGAATGCAGATGGGTGCCTTTCCGCAGGGGGTGGTAGCCGGGCTGGGGGGCTCTGAGGGTTGGTCCTGGGTTCGAGGAGGCGACATTGAGCGGAGTTGAAATGAGAGGGAAAGAAGAGTCCCTCTCTATCCTCCTCCCAACTCCCCTGCTCCAGCTTCCAGACTGGGTACTCATGACCCACTATGGGAAGATTACGAAACCCTCTGTTGCCTCAGTTTACTCATCTGTAAAATGAATTTTTTTTTTTTAAGTCTTGCTGTGTCACCCAGGCTGGAGTACAGTGGCTCACTGCAACCTCCGCCTCTTGGGTTCAAGTGAGCACATCCAGCTAATTTTTTGTAATTTTTAGTGGAGACAGGGTTTCACCATGTTGGTCAGGTTGGTCTCAAACTCCAGACCTCAAGGGATCCATCTGCCTCAGCCTCCCAAAGTACTGGGATTACAGGTGTGAGTCACCACACCTGGCCTGTAAAATGGGTTTAATGATGTGTCTTACTCCATAAGCACCCATAGCAAGGGCTATATAAGAACTAGGTTTTCTTTTATTTCTTTTTGAGATGGACTTTTGCTCTCCTTGCCCAGGCTGGAGTGCAGTGGCACGATCCCAGCTCACCGTGACCTCCGCCTCCCGAGTTAAAGTGATTTTCCTGCCTCAGCCTCCCGAGTAGCTGGGATTACAGGCATCTGCCACCACGCCAGGCTAATTTTGTATTTCTTGTAGAGGCGGGGTTTCTCCACGTTGGCCAGGCTGGTCTCAAACATCTGACCTCAGGTGATCCGCCTGCCTCGGCCTCCCCAAGTACTGAGATTACAGGCATGAGCCACCGTGCCCAGCCTGGTTTTATTTTCTCATTGAACAGATGAGAAAAGTGAGGCCGGGGAAGGGGTGTCACTCCCCCCAAACCACTCGGTGAGGCGGGGCTTGAAGCCACGCCGTGTGCAATGGACAGGAGGTCAGCCAGAGGTGTCCCAGGTCCCCGGCTCTTCCCGACCCCATGCTGTCCCCATCCCAGCCACCCCACGGAGAGGAGAACCGGGATCCTCACTACCTCTGTGTCCTCCCATTCCAGATAACCCATGCTTCCTCCGTGCCCAGCGTGGGGGAAGAGGCTGACCGCCGGCACTCACCTCATCCACCACCAGGTTGTAGTCACTCTTGTCTTCATCGCTTTCCTGGCGGGGGAGATGGGGGAAGAGAGCTCACTGTGGGTGACCAGCCTGTCCCCCAGGCTGGAGTGCAGTGGTGCGATCTCAGCTCACTGCAACCTCCGCCTCCCGGGTTCAAGTGATTCTCCTGCCTCAGCCTCCAGAGTAGCTGGGATTACAGGTGCCCGCAATCAGGACCGGCTAATTTTGTATTTTTAGTAGAGATGGGTTTCTCCATGTTGGTCAGGCTGGTCTCGAACTCCTGACCTCAGGTGATCCGCCCACCAGGGCCTCCCAAAGTGCTGGGATTACAGGCGTGAGACACTGCACCCAGCTGGACTTGTTTTTTCTGTTTTCTGTTTGTTTGTTCGTTTTTGAGACAGGGTCTCACTCTGTCACCCGTACTGGAGTGTGGTGTCAAGATCACAGCTCCCTGAGGCCTTCTGTGCTTAAGTGATCCTCCCACCTCAGCCTCCCGAGTAGCTGAAACCACAGCCATGGACCACCACACCCAGCTACATTTTTGTATTTTCCTGTAGACACGAGGTTTTGCCATGTTGCTCAGGCTGGTGTCAAACTCCTGGCCCCAAATGATTGTGGTCATGCCCCTGCCTCCGAGACCCCTATCTGCTCCCCAGGAGCTGGGGGAGGCAGCCCGGGGCATGACTGGGACTCTCAGGCCCTGAGACCGTTTGCTCAGAGCAGAAGGGAAGGCTGCACGTGCCCAGATCCGGGATCCGGGAAGGACGTGGGTGCGGGGAGCAGGTGGACACTTCGTGGGGAAGGACTTTGAAGGACAGGGACTGCACGAGGGCCCTGTGTGACTCCCAGCCCTCGGTTTACCCCTCTGTGTAATGGGGGGAGAGCCAGAGACCGGAATCATCCTTATCTCCTTCCTCAATCTCGATCCACAACGCCCATCGGTCTCTCAGCATGTGGGTCTCACCGATCTCTCTGCCGACCTCCACCCACTCCCCCACAGTCCTAACGGAGACCTCATCTCCTCCCAGTCCCTTCCGTGGGCTCCTGGCCTCCAGCCTTCCCCCTCCAGGCAACTCCCCAAGCTGACCCCAGATGGATTTTCCTAAGACCTGTCACCGCCTCTGCTCTGCAACCCTCTATGGCTCCCCATTGTCTTGGAAGAAAGGCCAAGTCCCAGTTCCATTCACTGATGTAGAAAACACGATCCTGGGTACCATGGCAGGGCGGGGTGGGACGGGGTACTGCTGACATATTGGGCTGGAAACCAAAGGAACAAAAAAAGGCTGCAGCCTGGAAGACAAAATCCGCCCAGTGGGTGGGTTCTCCTGGACTCCCCTCCCATGCCCAGTTTTATTCTTTAAATGAAAATTACTTGCGTCCAGGCGCCGTGGCTCAGGCCTGTGATCCCAGCACTTTGGGAGGCCGAGGCGGGTGGATCACGAGGTCAAGAGATCAAGACCATCCTGGTCAACATGGTGAAACCCTGTCTCTACTAAAAATACAAAAATTAGCTGGGCATGGTGGCGCGTGCCTGTAATCCCAGCTACTCGGGAGGCTGAGGCAGGAGAATGGCTTGAACCCAGAAGGCGGAGGCTGCGGTGAGCCGAGATTGCGCCATTGCACTCCAGACCAGGGAACAGAACAAGACTCTGCCTCAGTCAATCAATCAATCAGTCAATCAATCAATTCACTGCCAAAAAGAAAGGCTTCTCTGAGAAACATCACTACCGGCCCGCACTGAGCCTGCCAGTCTCCTGAGACCAGACTGTCCCTGCCCCCGTAGGTGGAACAAGTGCTCCCCCGCTGGCCACAGCCCCATTCCCCACATTTGGCCTGGCCCCTGGGACACTAGACTTTGAAACGACAGGTGTACAGCTGCTTGGCAAAGAGAGGAGGTCCCCGCCTCTGGGAGGTGGTCAGAGAAGGCTTCCTGTAGGAGGTAGCACTTTGTGTCTTGATGGAAAAACTGGTTTCTGAAACAAGGGTGTTCTAGGGAGAGAAAACAGCTGGACTAGAAGCAACAGGGCGGAAAACGGCTGTACAGGCCAGACGCCGCAGAGACGTCAAGAAACCAGAGTTAAGCCTTGCACTATGGGATCGCTTCTGATTGGCCAGTACTCTGAGTAGTAGGGAGCTATGGAAGACTCTAGAGTGAGAGAATCATGGCAGAGTTGGGCTCTGGAAGGTTCCAAGGGCCCCAGCTGGCCTGGGTCATGCATGCCCACCCCAGTCCTGCACCTGCCCCTACTCACATAAGGTCCTGACAGCTCCTTCTCATCGGCTCTCTGCTTCCCACCACCACCGGGGCCACTGGGTCGCTCCTCCTCCACCAGACTCTCAGGGGGCGAGGGAGACACACTCTGCGAAGAGACGGGGGCCACAGGGAGAAAGGGTCAGGGCCCTGCGCTCCTAGATTGCACTGTGAACCCGCCGAGACTGACGGTCCCCCACTGTTATTAGGGTCTGCACCTCAAGCTTCCCATCTTGGAAATGGGAGCTTCCAAGGGCTGACTCAGTGCTAAGGTTTTGTTTTCTCTGAAACAGAGTCGCGCTCTGTCACCCAGGCTGGAATGCAGTGTCGCGATCTCAGCTCACTGCAACCTCCGCCTCCCGGGTTCAAGTGATTCTCCTGCCTCAGCCTCCCGAGTAGCTGGGATGACAGGCACCTGCCACCACACCTGGCTAATTTTTTGTATTTCTTAGTAGAGACGGGGTTGCTCCATATTGGTCAGGCTGGTCTCGAACTCCTGACCTCAGGTGATCCGCCCTCCTCGGCCTCCCAAAGTGCTGGGATTACAGGCGTGAGCCCCCGCGCCCGATTGGACTTTTCTTTTTCTTTCTTTTTTTTTTTTTTTTGAGATGGGTTCTCACTCTGTCACCCAGGCTGGAGTGCAGTGGCCCGATCTCAGCTCCCTGCAGCCTTGGGCTTCTGTGCTCAAGTGATCCTCCCACCTCAGCCTCCCGAACAGCTGAAACCACAGCCATGGACCACCACAGCCAGCTACATTTTCGTATTTTTCCGTAGAGATGAGGTCTTGCCATGTTGCTCAGGCTGGTCTCAAACTCCTGGCCCCAAATGATTCTCTGCCTACCAAAGCGCTGGGATCACAGGCGTGAGCCACCACACCCAGGCGAGGTCTCATTCACAGGCGTGAGCCACCACACCCAGGCGAGGTCTCATTCACAGGCGGGAGCCACCACACCCAGGCGAGGTCTCATTCTGGCGCCCCCATCAGCTCAGAACCAGTGTCGGTCCCCCGAGAATACAAAGGGAGTCCGGAGTGCCACTCACTCACCCTGCTCGGGCCTCTCTCCGCTGGCGGATTGGGAATGAAAGAGAGAGAGAGGGAGAAAGAATGAGGCATTGACGTCCGTGGCGCCAGAGTCCAGCTGTCCAGTTTACACAGCCCCTCCCCCCGCCCTGCTCAGAGTCTCCCTATCCTTCCAACACCCTTCCAAGTGGCAGATTATCCCTCCCCTGCACTTAGATCAAGGCCCAGAGAGGGGTAGTGACTTCCCCAAGACACACAGCCCATCAGGGGTAAAGTTGAACCCAGGGCCTTGCAGCCATTCTCATTATTCCTCTCAAACTTTAAGAGATGGGGTCTTAGACAACAGATGCTGGAGAGGATGTGGAGAAACAGAAGCGCTTTTACACTGTTGGTGGGAGCGTCCTTTAGTTCAACCACTGTGGAAGACAGTGTGACGGCTCCTCAAGGGTCTAAAACTAGAAACACCACTTGGCCCAGCCACCCCTAAGGACTAGAAATCATGTTATTACACAGACACATGCACGCCTGTTTACTGCAGCACTGTTCACAATAGCAAAGACTTGGGACCAACCCCAATGCTCATCCATGACAGACTGGATAAAGAAAATGTGGCACATAGACACCGTGGAATACTACGCAGCCATAAAAAAGGATGAGTTCACGTCCTTTGCAGGGACATGGAGGAAGACGGAAACCATCGTTCTCAGCAAACTAACACAGGAACTGAAAACCAAGCACTGCATGTTCTCACTCATAAGTGGGAGTTGAACAATGAGAACACATGGACACAGGGAGGGGAACATCACACACCGGGGCCTGTCGGGGGGTGGGAGGCAAGGGGAGGGAGAGCATTAGGAGAAATACCTAATATAGATGACGGGGTGATGGGTGCAGCAAACCACCATGGCACGTGTGTACCTATGTAACAAACCTGCATGTTGTACACATGGACCCCGAAACTTAAAGTATAATAAAAAAAATTAAACAGGAAAACAAAGAGATGGGATCTTGCTCTGTTGCCCAGGCTGGAGTACAGTGGCCCCATCACAGTTCACTGCAGCCTCCACCTCCTGGGCCCGAGCAATCCTCTCACCTCAGCCTCCCGAGTATTTGGGAATACAGGTGTGTAACACCACACGCAGCTCGTTTTTAAGTTTTTTGTAGAGATGGGGTCTCACTCTGTTGCCCAGGCTAGTCATGACCTCCTGGGCTCAAGTGATCCTCCCGCCTCAGCCTCCCAGAGTGCTGGGATGACAGGCGTGAGCCACCTCACCCCCTCACGCTGACGTGCTTGGCACCTGGCCTGCCCGTCTTCCTCCCCAGCCCCAGCCCCCCACCAAGGCCACACCCTGCGCGGCCCACTCACCTCTGGACCCCTCAGCCTCTGCGCCCACACGATCCTCCTTGACAGCCGCGGCCAGCTGAGCCTGGGCAGCCAGGGCTCCGGACAGGGCGAGCAACCCCGTGGCACTGCTGCCCACCAGCCCGGCTGGGCGGGGGGTGAGGGGCACGGGAGGGGCGTGGTGGGACAGCGGCTGGAGCTGCTGCTGCTAGAAAAGGGAGAGGGTGGGCTGGGGCGGGGGGCGGGGGGCAGGGGATGGGGGGTGGCGGGAACCCTGTGGTCCCTTGCCCAAGAGATGGGACGCTGGGACGGGAACTAAGCACAGCGTGTGCCCCTGGGGTTCCCACGATGGCCAGAGCCCAGGCCCACCCACCACCCTCAGCTTTAACACCTCCTGGGCGGGCGCCAGGGACCTGGGGGTGGGCATCTCCCCATGGCAGGGCAGAGGCTGCAGAGACTCACCCCGATGAGGCTGTTCAGCTCCCCTACAGTGACCTGCTTGGCGCGTTCTACAGCCTGGAGCACCTGCTGCTGATGCTGGGGACGGGGCGGGGGTGGGGAACCAGGAAGAGGGTACACTGAGTCCCTGCTCACCCTAGCTGTGCCCTTCGGAGCCCTGACCTCTCCCCAGCATCCTCTCATCTTTGCCCCAGTACTCCCCATTTTTCTTTTTCTTTTTCTTTTTTTTTTTTTTTTTTTTAAGACAGAGTGTCGCAGCTGGGCGCGGTGGCTCAAGCCTGTAATCCCAGCACTTTGGGAGGCCGAGGCGGGTGGATCATGAGGTCAAGAGATCGAAACCATCCTGGTCAACATGGTGAAACCCCGTCTCTACTAAAAATACAAAAACATTAGCTGGGCATGGTGGCGCGTGCCTGTAATCCCAGCTACTCAGGAGGCTG